CAAGGTATTTAAAGCACAAGCTGCAGCCTCCTGCCCACTGCCTGCCTCCATTACCAGTGGCTCCTTTCCTGGAACTGAGTTTCTAGGCATGAGAAGTCACTGCCTTCTAAGGCACTGGCTTCAAAAGAGCTTTCTAATAGTTTATTAAAGCAGCTCTAAGGCTTTTTTTTCCCCCTCCTTCATTTTGGTAAAATATTTATTCTTTCTTTAAAGAGCAGTTTGATAGATGTAATCATCTAAAGAATGTCCTGCCAGTTTTAAGTTAGCCACAGATACAGCTGTGCAGATCATGTTTCCTGTCAATACCAGAAACTTGTCAACCCCTTTCTCTTACCAGTTCTTCCCTCTTCAGCTGTGCCACATTCAGCCTTTCTTGTCTTTGTCTGCTAGCACCTTCCCAGGCCCTTTCCTTACTTATCTACTCAAAGACAGACATTTTTACTCCCTCCATTAGCTTCTTCCCTCTTGACTTCTGCAGCCATCTCCCGTGCAACCTACTTTCCACAGAAACCTGCCCAACTCGAACATAGGATTATCACCCTCACCTCGAAATCCTCCATAATGCTTACAAAAAATTAGCAAACTAGTGGATGAGCTAAAATGCAGAACATCAAAAACTTTATGAAGTGCAGGATCTGGACAATGTTAGAGGAAGACACTCGAGTAAAGGTGGTTTTCTCTCACGTGCAGGAATAGTGACCTTGTGAATGCTACAGAGAAGATATAAAATTATAGCATCGGGTCTCTGGTCTTGAATGAAGTCAATTTAACTCCAGAGATAGGAAGATTCTTCTGCACAGATGCTCTTATACCTACTGCTGCTGTTAAAATTAATAAAAATATTGCTGCTGATAACCATAGGGGAAGTGTTTCACTTTTATTTTAACTGTGAATTAAATTTCTGTCCTGTTTATATTATGTTTGGCTTTGAGACTTGACCTGTCAAACATCTTATTTTGTATATTTTGCAGATACAGGGGTAAAAAGTAAAATATGTCCATCTTGTTTCTAGAAAACTGTCTCTGGGTCAATTCTATTTAATTCTGCTCATACAAACTCCGCCACTAAGGGTGCAGAGTGGGGCTTTCCTACAAAGAACCACAAATTTAGTAAATTAGCCAGGTTGTATTCTGACATCTGTCAGAATACAGATCACCACCTTGTTTTTAATGAGACCAGCTTTGGAGAAAGACACTATTCAACATGAAAGACAATCTCAGTTTCCTTCATTATTTCTAACTGGCTCAACAGCACAATACAATGCAAAGCCAGTTCACATGTTTTTTTATAAGTACAATTTCCCTATGATATGATTTTTAATATAAAATACTGGTTTTTATATGTTCTAAAATGATTCAATTTAAGAACTTAATTTTTTTGAAGAAAACCAATGTATTAGAGTAATTTGCTTATTAAATGCCTACAATCAGATACTGCATTCTACAGGCAAAGAATTTCTACAAAAGTACCCAGTTTCTAGCTATGTAGCTGTGATTTGCACATTTTAAATGATAAATTTAAGCCCATCAATAGTAAATCAATTGCAGGTATAAAAGATAAAACTGAAATAATTCATCATATCACTATTGGAAAACACAGAGTGGATGTAATGGGTCATTTTGACTTTAAATTGAAGTCTGTTGCTAGGTTTTTCAAGGACAATTCACTTTACAAACCTTTAATGTATACATAAAAATCATCCATCAGCACATCTGATCCAAATATACTAATGATTTTTACTGGTCAGATCTTGAAAGTGAGGTTTATTTTTATGGAGTATGCATTAATTAACCCAACATGTACTATCTTCCAGTATATCTAGCCAAGTACTTTCATTTAAACATGTTTATTGTGAAATGTTTGCATTCCCAACATTTGTGGCCCACACACAGACTATTTCATACTTCACTTCGGAACAGTTACAAAAGTTAAAAGGAGTTATTGTTTTTGATTAATGCATTTTTGGGGACTTTTTTTTAAACGTTCCAAAACTATGCTCTGAAGACATTCCTCTACATGAAAACTTTGAAATGTATTTATCTTGAAAATAGAGTATTAAATGAAAAGGAGTGGTATTCACTTTGGATCTTTTCAACTTTTGCATGGAAAGTGAACATTATGAACTTTTGTATATCATTTGACTGAACTTATGCAGAATATTAATTGACCAATTTGATATAACCATCAATCATAAAAGGAAAAGCCATGTACACAGATACACAGAGTGGTGCATTACAGATGGGACTTCTAAGGCTGTGCCTGTCATCTTTTGATTAAGAAAAGGAAATGATTTCACTAAAAAGATATTCCCTCTTGTGTTGTTTTGTTTTAACTGAGTTTGTACTTTCCACCGAACTGGACATATTTATTGAGACTCATAAGTTACTTCACGGTTACCAACATCACTGTAATCTCAACAAACTATCTTTTTTCTTGCCAATTATCTAAATATCATAACTATAAAATATCTTAAAACATTCTCTATAGTGTAAACATCTTAGCTACAAAGCTTTAAGTGTAAACAGTATGATGCATCAGAATGATTTTAAGCAATGTTATAAAAACTGCTCTTAAAAACTAAACAAAAATGTAAAGCTTCCATCTGTTTTATGATTTTTCCACTGTAGAACTACTGCTGTGTGCCAGTTTACTGAACCATGGCTTGCTAAAGAGATTGCTGGGGTCACAGATTGAAAAAACAAAGAGCAAGTTTTTAATGGTTGATTTTTTCTCAAGTCTCCTTGATACAGTTCGAACAGAATTAAGTGCATGGCAGCAGAAAACACAGAACATAAAAATGCTCATGTCGCCTTTTGCAAAGGGGACCCTTCACAGGAAGATTAACATTTTGCAGAAGATGTCATTTAAGCAATTATCTGAAGTTCTTTAGTGACTGCATACCTATGTTGTCGCCACCAAAGAGCTGCTATGCTGAGGCTTTGCTCTGCGTCTGTACAGAGTAAATACAGATTGTAGGTCTGCATCAAAGGAGGGAAGGCACCCACACAGGCTGACTGTGTGTGAATCTTTACCCCAAAAGGACAGAATAGTTCTGGACATTGTTTTCACTGAAAACTGAGAGAAGAGAAAGCCACACGGGGCAAAAACAAAGAAATTCTTAAATGTAGCATTGCATATTTAAGAATTTAAACAAAGGAAATAAGGAACCCACCTAACTACTCAGTACGTAACTAGACTTTACATTCTTCTAAAAGCAACAATGCTTTTATGAGGTCAGTTTACATCATACAAGAAAATCTGAAGAACTTTTCTGCAGCAAACTACTTCAGCACACACTTAACTGAGCAGTTGAATAACCCCACTGCAGCCACACATCTATGCACTATGCTGAACACATTTCCAAAATAAACCTCATTCACGTCAGTCAGTCTTTCCACAGAACATGGCCAAACTTCACAACTGCTATGTAGTAGCAGTGTTTGGGTTGGAATCTCCCAAACTGTGAGGAATATAGGTCAACCAGGCTGCCACTCTGTTACCTTATCTGTAAACTGTCCAGAAATGACATGAGTATTAGAGGCCATTCCTTAATTGAATATTGCTAGACAGCAATCATCAAAACTTAGAGTCCCTCCTTGCTTCTGAGACCTTGTCACCTGCTGCTTAAGTCCTGGGCAACAAGTCTGTATCCTCACTGGCACAAACAAAAGGACCCTGGTTGCATGTCACCAGTCTCTTCTAGAACAAGCTCTGGTGAGAATGCATTTCCACTGAGGCACCCACAGCCAGGCAGTCTGAGTTCATACCCCTCCTACCTCCTCTACATACACAACTACCACCTAGTGCAGAAGTTCATGCCTGACACGGAAAAGAGTCAGAAAATAAACCCTTCAAAGGCAACAATCTTTTTACTGTCTATTGGTCTACAAACTCTCCATCTTCTACTCCATGTGTAGGGGAAGAAAAGCAAGCAATCTGTCATCACATGGAGGGACTCTGTCTCTACCCCCTGGTGTGACTCCTACACCATATAGAGATCTGGCACACAGCTTCGATGACACTTCCTAAATGAATCCAGATAAATTCATGGGTAAACTGTGTTTCCATTAGCCCTGCAAGCAAGGCAGTTCATTTCTGAGAACAAGTGACAGGATCAAAGCCCCACTAAAAGATGCAGTACTTTGTCCCAGAACTGCACCTTTCCATTTGAGTCTAGGACCCCCTTTTAGGGTTCTGCACTCACACAGGATTACATCTGGTAATCCTTACTCATGCAAATATTAGCCACCATTAGGAAGGTTTTGCTTTCGATGCTATGAAGTGTATGTCTGCACTGCAGTCCCTGGGGCATTGCACTTCCTGCAAGCTTTGAACTGGCTTGCTCAGATGCCAAAAAGCTTTCTAAGAAACTGGAGAGCCAGCACAGAGGTACTGCACTGTGAGCCTTCCAAAGGACAAAGTCTGCAAGGGTGGCAGCCACTCCAGTGCAAATAAAACCTACAAAATTCAAAGGGTAAACATACTCCTTCATATCCATATTCTCCTCTGCCACCAGTCAGTCCAATAAAAAAATATCTCCAGTCATAAGTATTAGGTCTCCTTCCCTTAAAGAGTATTATTTGAGGATGGAAAAGAAAAAGGCCTTTGACCCACCATACCAGCTGTTTAACAACTGCGAGAAAAAGGATGTTTGTCAGAGGCACAGATATATTTTAGCCATTATGTAACAACCCATTGCACCCATGATTTTCCTATGTCTGCAACAGAAAATAGTCTGTTTGATGTGATTTTCAGGGATTAAATGAGAATACAGGTATATTTAGATATGATACACTTAGATATTTGAGATTCTCCCACCTTTCTAGGAATTATTCAAGTCAATTCAAGAACTGATCCCATTGTATGTACAATATGTCTTACCTGCAGCCAGAGCAGAGAAGTCTAGTAGTCTGTGCACATGTCTAGGGAGAAGGGACAGACATCAACACACTCTGGAGCTCAGGAGAGATCCTTTAACCTCTTTGCCTTGGTTTCTCCATCTGCAAAAGAGGGTAAAAATGAGACCTGAGTAAATATTATAAAACATTGTAATTCAAAGTAAAATTTTGAGTTAACAGCATTAGAAACATGTAACTGCTTTCTGTTTTTGTCTGTCTGCAAAATTTGGAGCATATGTGCTGTACCAATATTAGCATGTCTTCACAGTCAACATCTAGAATGAATGCTTAAATATTCATTGACTTCAAATTTCAAATTGAAGTTTGAATTGACATTCATTCTGTAGATGTAACAGCATCAACCATTAATCAGGGAATAGAAATAATACCACTCAATTTATATAATCTACATACTGTGGTCAAAATGTATACTTCTAGATATATAATCTCAAAATTTTAAAGTATTAGCTGCTTAAGTAGATCATGTGGTATGTCCCCTCCCTCTTCTAACTGGCTGATTTATGTAACTGAGCAACCAAACAAAAATTCTGAGATGTATGTTCAGCTGTAACATTCAAAATTTACATTGTGTATTGAATCAAGTAAGTACGTAACTCATGCAATCAGGGAACAGAAGAAATAACATGATTTAGGTAACCAGCTATGACTATAAATTTATAAATAATCAAAACAAAAAACTCTACGAATAAAGATTTTTCAAATGCATTATTCACTGAAGAGTTCTGTAAGTAACTACTGAATAAATACTTTTCACATTCACAAGAAAAGAAAAAAAACCAAAATGTACCTAAGGAGTCACTGTGGCTTGTTTGTTCAGATCTACCTACCCAGTTATTCTTCCCTCCCTTCCTCCCTCTTAAACTACACCTATATAAATGGAAATTCAAAGCCTATAGTTTCTAATGCACTGTCTTTGTGGATTAGTTAATTTTAGGCAAGTTACAAGAGTATCTAATGCAAACATTTACATTTACTAAAAGGAGGGGAAAAGAAATATGAAGTTACCAAAATCATTATAGCCACTATTTGAACAGAACATTTCAACCCTGCTGAATGCTTTCAGTCTTTCAGCTCTGTCCTTCTGGTATCTTTTCCAGCACTTTTTTTAAACTACATGCATACAGATATCATTGACCAGCACAACAGTCAGTGAGTGCATTTCTTCCCTGCAACTGCTTTGTGTTGCCCCAAAATTTTGCACTTGCCAAATAATGTCCTGCTTTTCTCAAGTTTTTGGTTACTGTGCAGGTTTTAGAAGTCTTAATCTTCAGGGAAATTCACTATGGTAAAGAACGAGAAAAGAAAGGAGGAAACATGATTTAAATGAGCTTGTCTCTTCTACTTAAGCTCCAAGAGAGATATTCAAAGTTTGAAAATGCAATCTCCAGATAAAGATAAAAGCTCCTGTGTTATGTCTCTGTAAACCAGAACACAACTGGCACTTAGCAAGTTGTCCTGTCTGCTGGTGGGAGCAGAATGGATGAATCTGGCCAGTCCACTTGCACTTCCTTTTCTGAAACCAGCAATAAAGTTTGAGAAGGGTTATTTTTAAAGCAGCTCTTAGAGTGTTCCAGCTCACTACTGTCTGCTTCAGATCTCGAATGCAATTTGATTTATAATTACATTTTAAAAACTAGCATTAAAATAACATTAGAGAGGTCATAATCTGAACTTTTTAATAGTTAGGCACGTAGCATATATTTAGAAATGGCTCTCCAACAGGATTCATCTGGAGCATATTCTGGCTGGAATTCCTTCCTTCAGCCATTTCAGTACTCTGCTGAAGCTGGTGTGCCAAGAGGCCATGGTGGAGCCCTGTATTTCAGCTTTGCTTCAAATGGAAACCAACTGAAATACACTGCTGAACATTTGCTAGTCAAGGTCTTTTCTTGCATTACAGTCACGCCCATGTTTATAGACACCAATGGGTGAGAAAGGGCTGGAGAATCTGGAATAAGACCTCTGCACTGAAAAAACACATTACATCCCTTGAAAAATCCCGTTGGCTCCATTGCTTCTGAACCTCGAAGCCACTTTAATTTTCTTGGTCTTTGTGGCACAGAACAACTTGAGGGCATTCACCACTTTGAGTAGTTCCTCGAGGTCAAGTTCTGCTCATGCCAGCTAAAGCACATGTGCAGTGAAAAAGCTGCATTCCCCACATCTGTTCCTACCTGTCCTCCCAGCTGTGCAAACAACCCACACAGGCACTCGGGGAACCTGTGCCTGCACCTCCTGAACACAAGATGGGCTTCAGATGGGTGCACTGGTACCTAACTACCGCTTTAGAGGCAAAAGGCAGACAAGGAATTCAGTTTCTGAACACTAGTGCTGAAGTAAATGAGCTAGTAAAAAAAAAAAAGGCTGTGCCTTAAAACCAAGTTTGAAATTTTATAGGCTTTTACTCCATAATTTGTACTTGAGCCTTCTGTTATTTTTAAACAAATCTAATTTCTTACAGCTGTGAAATTTACATTTTAAGAGTGTCTAGTGGCCATGTGCATTAATTACTTTATTGTAATATTTTAATGAGTTTGGGGTTCAACTCTGAAAGAATCCTTCTGAATCCCTGCTTCCCCACAGAATTACACTAGAACCTGATTCAATCACAACTTCACACGCCCTGGTCCAAACCCTGATGGACTTGCACAGTATTTTCAGTTGTTTTATGAAATCACTGAACTTTAAAACTGGCTCCAGCTTTTAGGACGTCTCACCAAACTAGCTTTTCCCCGATTCAGGAGCAGAGCAAGGCTTTGAGGAAGTTTGTATTTAGAGCTGAACTTGCTGGCTGAGTCTCATCTCAGTGAAGGAGGTAGCAAAATGCAAAGTTCAGCTATGACAGTTAACATTTGGGCCAAAATTGTTCAAAATGACACACAATTGATGCAATTGCTTCCATCTCAGCATATATGACATAAAAACATGCAAGGCTAAAAGATTAACCTTCCTAAGGAGTATCTAAATTCTCCAGGGCAGATTGAAATGCACTACTGGAAGATTTCCACCTTTGTAAGAAAACTGAAAAGTACTGCAGTATCCATACTCCTGCCATGGTATCTCCTTTATGGATTTTGGTGGTTTGTGTCATACTAAATTATTTCTTCTTCATCTATGCATCTGTATAAGCAGTGGTGGGACATAAGTAAAATGAACCTGTTTTTTCAGGCAGTTTTCCAGAAGGATTTAGTGCCTGTCCTTGCACTGCTGCAGGTGCAAGTGCTCATCTCAGGACTGAGGCAGAAACCTGCAGACCATTGAGGATCTCTAGAATTTGAACTGAAGAGATAAACCTTCCTACAACATTCAGTGCACTTTAATTTTCGATGTAAGCTAAAGATGCAAATCCATAACACACTGAACAATGGGTTCAAGTACAAATACAGATAAATGCAGGGAAAGTGGGACTGGCTGTGTTTAGCTGGCTGTGATAACAGTAAGAGGTTCATCAGCTGTCAAGTGCCACCACACATGCTGCACCCACAGAGTCATGCTTGGAAATCTGACCACTTTTGTCCCCAGCTCTCACCTCTCTTGGCTAGGGCAAATGCAGAATTGCAACTTCAGTGAACTACCCAGCTTTTTAAAAAGCATGTTTTTAAACCACTTACAATAAGAGCAACAGTTATTATTCAGTACATGCTTTTTATCAGATTGAAGATAAACTTTATTATAACTGGTGGAGATGGTATCAATGATTTGTGGTCTATGTGAATTCTGTAATGAGAAATGGTAATCTGTCTTGGGGCAAACAATATTGTTCTGTTTACTATGCAATTAGCAATATTAAGTCAAGATTCTATAACTGATAGCTGAAAATAGGGGTGGTAGGAAGAAACTGGAAGCACTGGGAGCTGTCACAGGACAATTATCTGAGGTCTATAAATTATTTACAGTACTTTAGCCTGACATTCCCTCTCATCCTCCAAAAATCTTCCTCAGTGCTCCAGAGATGCTCGCTGTAAAAGTATTGAGACTGTCAGCAGTTTGGGGCAAAGCCAGAATCTCTCCTTGTTGTGAATACTGAATATACAGTATAATGCAAGAGCTTCATTTTCAGAAAGGCAGCAATAGAATAACAACAAAAAAAAAATCTCCAAAAAAGAGTTTTACTTGGAAATAATGAACCAACAAGCATGCCAAAAAGAGGTGAGACTCCAATTCCTAGCATATTTGATGTGAAATAAAGACAGAGTATTTCCCCTGCATTTAATCTCTTTAATTTTATAAACTGAGTCCTACACCTTTGTGTGACCAAAACCCTGCACTTTTTGTTTACTCTTAGATCAGCCTTAAGCTACCACCATATGGAGCTGGGAACACCACAGACAAAGCAAAAACAGTCCTTAACCAATGGTCAGAGTAAATTGTGTTGGGAGTCAAGTGGGGCCACTCTCAAGTGGCTGGTTAGGAAAAGGCCTGACCTATAATGGAGCTTCTGTGTAAAAGAATACATTTTTTACTTTACATTGTAAAGGACAGAACCATAAGTATGATCAGCCACAGAAATTTCACAGCCTTTTTCTAGTCTGTTCCTTGCTGTACACATGCAGTCCAGCCCTTTTGGCTCTGATTCTGCAGCAGTAAGAATTTTGAGATTACCTCAACAGGAACTCAGAGCTACAGCACAGAGCTTTCACAGTGAACAAGCAAGACCTATAAAGTGCTAGGGACTTGCTAAACTGATCTTCAAAAAAAAAAAAAACAAAAACCAAAAAAACCCCAGATGATCACATTCTTAAAGTAGCCAATTCCATTTGTAACTCTCTGGAAATGAGATGCTCCCCAGAGAGCTCCATTGCACCCAGCAGGAAAAAGGCACATTTAAGGCAGCATGAGACAGCAGCGCTCTGGCAAGCAGGGTGCCATGAGGAGGGGGCTGCTTCTGGCAGCCTCACAGCCCCCTCTGCACCCTTTTCCTTAAGGATCAGTGCCTTAAATTCCCATATACCACTGAATGACATCTGGCTGATCCAGAAGATTAGCAGCTTATTCCACCTTTGTTCTCTGCCTTCTTTTAGGACGAGCAATCAATGACACCACAGCAGGCAGAACCCTCTGGCACAAAAGCTAACAAAATT